TTGCTCTCTGTGTGTACGTGTGTGTGTGCGTGGTGCACCTGCGCGTGCGCGCACGAGACAGTAATCGAGTATGCGAACGGCATTTGAAGATTGGGTGATCTACATAAAAAATTAACAAATCAATCAAGTTCGACTTGAATGAGCTTCCTATTAAACTCCAAGCTACCTAAAGTGGAGCTGGCTCACTGCCTACGTGAGCGAGTGACTGACGGACTGATTCACAGACTTTCTGCATAGTAGCTTGTCTGCCTGTCTGCACTGATCACTGCGAGTTTCGCGGCGAACTGGAAAGATTCCCTGTTTTAGGAAACGTGTGTGTGTATGTGTGGATTTGATAAATGTATCGAACGAGGGTCAGGGAAAGAATAAAATGAATTTTGGAAAAAGATGGATGAAACCTGAAGCTGATAATTTTTTCACTGTCTAATTTGAAACGTTAACAGTGAACAGCGCTGATTTGGAGCAGCACGCATTTCGAAAATCGGTTTGCAATGATCGGACACGTGTACTTACGTGTACCAATGACATTGGCTCTTCTTATCACCATGATGATGATGATGATGATGATGATCATCATCATCATCATCATCACGATCAGCCCCAACACACCGTAGCTGTATTCGATTGCCAGTCTATAGGGAGAACGGATATCCGTTCTACAGACGTTTGTGTTTGCATCTATTGGACGAGTGAAAATGGAAAACAATTGCGAAAAAACAACCGCCCAAATACACAATAGTTGTGTTATGAACTGCACGGAAGGCTCACTTCTAAAGATTTTTTGAATGGCAATTCATTTTAATTACTTAAAAATGTCTGTTGAATGAAAGAGATAAATTAACACTTCCATTCTTGAGACGCTCAGTCGGTCTCCTGTCGGGGTTTCGAATTTTCCCATAGGAAGATAGAAAAGTACTGTTTGTTCCACTGAGCATTCCTGAACGTCCCACTCCCACCTCCGGTGATGACCGATTTGATCCTTCATTGGTGGAATTAATGTTAACCGGGGGTCCTTTGTTACAAACGGCTGTTAATCTATGAGGTCTCAATAATGGTACTTCGACTGCTTCCCTATGATCCAGTGGAATGCAAATAGAAACTCGTGCTGTGGTGTGCATAGTGACCGAGAGCAGAAGAAAGCTTGTGGTCAGTCAAGCGAAAATTCGTTCGGTTAGTATACCTAATCACATGTACGTGTTTAGTGCACCGTTACTCATTTGATAAGTTGAACGACAAGTATGGGGGTAAATGAACAAAGAAGAGAACGGAATGTAGACACGGATCAAAAGGAATACTTTTAAACCTAAAGCCCCAAAAATAACATCCTTGGTAAATGAAAAGGTTGCTGTCGTACACGAAATATAGCTGAAAATAAGTGTTTAATCCTTGATTTCTAGTCATTTGTCATTCTATTCTATTTCTCTGACTTAATTCCAACCAGTCTCATTCAGACCTAGTTTGATTGCAGTGTCAAACAGTGAAATATGAGAGATCTTTCCAGGATGAAATACAAACCCAATGATGCACTTCTTCCCTTGTCGAATGCCCGGATATATGTTCGAATTACGCCCGCAGCAAATAGAGCAATACAGTGGCGAAAAAAATCCTGAGCGGGGTAACCTTTTATTACGCATGAATGAGTACAATCGTCTTTTCTTCTGAAGGTACACTACAAACGCGAATGCAGATGAAGCATTTATGATGAGAACAATTTATGTGAGCTGCGGTGCTTGCAAAAGTTATACACAATACAATACAATTGTTTCTGCATTTCAAGATGGGTGTGTAAGTTGAAGGGATAAATGAAAAGAGTGAGGGTTTTCTCCCGCTTTGCGTTTCTACCGTGGAGAGGGTGGGGTGGCTACCGGAGGTTAGATAGTGCTTGGTATGATTATATAAACGCTTGAATTCGGGACCTATGGCTGAGAAAAGTAAAAAATGAACAAAAGAAACAAGTTGGGTTGAATAAAAGTTAACAGGGCAGTGTCTAAAAGGTGTACATGACTATTGTACTTCTGAACCCCATCACCACCATCCAACTTTACTCATGTCTATGTAACACATGACATCTCTCGAATTATCTGTTTTCCGCCCAGTGGGACTATCTGGTCAACGACAAAGAAGTTAGTGGCAATGAGAGAATAGAAATGAAGTAGTGCGTGTTTACTCGACAGCGAGCCGATAGATACAAGTTAGGATCGGGTTGTTTATCAGGTGTGGGGCTTTTCGTTAACTTTTTCAACTTCAACTTCAACTATCGTACACATCGTGAATGTAAGATTTAAGCAGATGACAGATAAGGTATTTACCAATTGAGACGAGCGAAGAACTCGCTTCACAAAACGCAAGAAGCGCGAGAATACATAAGTGCTAGCTAATTTTGGAAACCAGAAGATTAGAATGAAGGTCCCAACAAGTTGTACGAATCTATGCAACGGAGCAATTGTTCGCATTCCATGCGGACCGAAACTAATCGAGTGCAATTGGAATGCGTGAATATCACATTGGAAAGAAACACGATTGCTATTCGTCGGGATGCTTGAGTGCACAGAATTGAAATCTTCAAGAATCGCCTAGGTGTGGCTCGAATTTCCGCAACAATAAATTGTTGACCAAACTCTTCACTTCGTTCTCTACAGAGGAATGATTTTCAGCATCTTTTAAAGATGCTATCCTCATTTACTTTTGGTTTCAAATGTGTAGATATTAGTTCTGATGGTAGCATCCTAAATAACAGCAAATCGGTACAGAAACCCATCGATGACTTTGGAATAATTTTAGGCGTACAGTAAATTTCGGTATGCTTCTATGTTAAACAGTCTCACCCGTCAAAATCGTCTGATTTAAGAAATTTAATCTAAGATAAGTTTTTGAAACTTGAAAGCTTCATTTGAATTAAATCCCTAATCGTGCTGACATGGTTCACTGCGAACTAGCAACAGTATCTTTGTGTAACTTATGCAAATTGTATATCTGGGAGAATATTATTTATGCCGGATATCGTTTCCTAGCTCACGACTGTTATGACCCTATTCGTCTCGGTTATGAGGACTCATAAACCATTTGCCCACGAAAATGCGCTGTGAGCATGTGTTCAATTAGGACGGAATGATACTCTACCCAGAATGTCGGGTAGGTGTGGCGAGCTATAGGTGATTTCATTATTACCTGTATGTGATTGCAATGATACGTGCACAATTTCATACAAATTTCTGTTCCGTTGACAGAAGCAAGACTGGCCGGCTTCCCGTGAAGAATTTCCCTAAATTTAGTGCAATCAACCGAACTAGTCTTAATCGACCCTAGGTTTCCTCTTCGAATGTGAAATAAAACCGATCAATAAATTTCACTATTCGAATGTATCTGGATGAGATTTTAGTAACTTCTGAAGCAAACAGTAATTACTGAATGAACAATAATTTGCCAACCTAAATAATTTCAATACCACAAAATCAAGACAAACCCCTATGATTAAAATACATTCACCCTGATCGATACTCGACTGTACTTAAAACGATCACTTTACTCAAGGGTTGGATAATCGTGATTGGACTCAGCTTAAGCCTATTCTAGACGGTTATTTCGGATCTATTACGATATCCAAGATATGATTTATTACTCTAAGGTATGCCCATAAGCAAATAAACAACCTGACAAGTTCATGGTAGCATGAAAATAGATTGTGTTATCTCTGCATGTTCGTAAACTAATCAAAATTTTTTTCCAGAATAAAATTATATTTTCGGCCTCTTTGTGTTGTCTCGATAAAGTAAAAGGATGCGAATCTTGTGCAATAAAGAAAGCCTGAATGAAAATTTTAGCATTGTACGATTACTCGCAACACAAGTCGGACATCATGGTCAGGAAGCGGATTTTCAAACAGTCATTCACTGGTTGCATTTCCGGCAAGAATGTGTGCGGTACCCGTTGGTGGTTGGCAGTGGATAGCAGAGAACTCCTCTTGTAGGGATCATCAGTTTGGGACTTTGGTACCGGGACAATTGGAATCAAGAATCATCTAGGGCACCAGCTGAATAAGTGTGCTGTTGATGCGAGTAATGGTGAAATACAGAGAACTTCTAGCTTCAGTTTAAGTGAACAAATATATTGGTTTACCTAAGACAGTAAACAACATTAAAACCACAGATTAAGTTGGACAAACGCAACAAGAATATATTTTATGCGAGATGTGGGTGAACTTGTTTTCACGTGTCCATTTTACAACACCGAAACTAACATTTGTCACGCATTCAACCTTTAGATGCCCTGGTGTCTACAGTATTCCTCAAACCATTCGTGTTGCTGCTACAGTTGCCCGTTGGACCAATCACCAATCGACATCAGATTGTCTGTCCCTTCAATCCTCTGATTGGTTGTAGTGGCAAAACCTAGGGGGACGCGGAATGAAATTATCGGAACAAGTGAACCAATCAGAATGCAGTTCGCTCGGCGCCAGCTTACAGTGACATGTGCGTCAGGTCGTTGGGGTGCACATGAGATAGAGAGAGACGTGATTCCAGCAGTGACAACTTTATTAACTTGAATTTCTATATCGTTGTTCTTGTCCTAGTGATCGACTCCCGTGCGTCCATGTATGTGTACATCTTCATATGTACCACTGAACCGAATCGCTATCCTCGCACACCTTCACCATTACTGCCTGCCCTCCTCCCTCGCCTACTCACAAAAAACCAGTTTCAGTCCAGTGTCATTAGTTGTGTACACTATCTTGTGTGGCACAAATTGTGAAGGATCACACTGGTCATTTTGTGTGCCCTGTTCCAACTGTGAAACGTTCTCTCGGGCAATTTATTCTCCACTTCATCAACACGTCTAGTATACTGTGAAGTGATCGTAATCTACAGGTATATTTACTCTTCTGCAACGCATTCTAATTTACGTGAGTTCCTTGGTCGGACTAGTTGTATCCTGCCCCTCCCATCGTCATCACACACTACAAGCCCCAAGACCTGGGCTTTATTTCTCAATCTGGCTAAGCTATGATGACCATGCATCCGAATTACTATGCGTCTCGTGCAGATGCGCGTATCGCAGGCACCTTGATGCCCTCACAGTTGGCTATGTTTCCACAATCCTCCCTAATGTCTACACCGAATCACGGTCAAAGTCTTCAAGAACTTATTCTCCCACCTCTGCGTGGTAGTCCTAATACAACCCAATCCGGACCAGAACTCCTGTCATCCAATGAGGATGTGAATTTGTCTGGAAATCGACAAAATGTACCCGAGGATTATACATCATTTCCACCCCTGAATAAACAATTTGATTCACGACGAATCAAACAGACCACAGAAATGGCTCGGTTTCCCAGTAATTCAGCGGCTGCTGCTGCGGCAGCAGCAGCTGCGGCCACAACAACTATGCAGCTCAACGAATGGCTTTCCGCAGCTGAGGCTCAGAATATGTCTAGGAAAACTGATCACAATTTAACAAAACATCTGGAATCCCCGAACCTCCTGCCGACTGACTGTTCACCTAGCCCTTTGAGGGGTGGCCCTGGGTTTACCGCATCCAGTCGTCAGTCACCAGCTGATTCTTCTCCATCACCGACAAATCACCCAAGTCTATCTGAACTCACCTCCAACTCGTCCAATCCGAATGCCAGTAGTTCGGCGAATAACAGCAGCAGTAGCAATGCTGCCGCCGCTGCTGCCGCCGCTGCGGCTGCCAGCCTCCTACCTCCATTGCGGCGTGCAAACGACGCCACCCCGGATACTCCAGTATCTCAGACACGCAACGGTCCGAAGGAATTAGACTATCTCCTGGCAGCAAATGCAGCAGCAGCATTGGTGCATCAGCTCGGCGGCTCCACAATGAACGGACTGGGACCGAATCAATCATTGGATTCTTTGGGTCCAACCGGATTTGCCAGTCTGAATCGGGATGTGCATTCTGCGGAGTCAGATAGACGACATGCATTTCAGTTTCCCTACGATAGTCCCCAAACATCTCACGGACAACACCAGCAGCAGCAGCAACAACAGCAACAACAACAACAATCCCTTCATCATCAGTCGCAACAAGCAGCACATCTTCAGCAAAGTGGGCTGGTAGCGCAACAGCAACTCCAGCAACGTTCACCGGGAAATGAAAACAAATACTTGTCTTCTACGGGAATGAAACCCAGTCCGGCCGGAATAATTAATCCATTCAACAGCGCCAGTCTCATGCAGCAATCCATGGTGTCCGCATCTTCCTTTGTCAATCCGTTGTTATCTCGGGCTAACCCGTTCTCTACGTCTGGGGATAAATTCAATCCCTATGAATCAAACTCAAACTTTTATTCACAATCAAACTATCCGATTGCCCAATCATTGGTTTCGTTCAGTTCCCCGGTTCCTTCACGTGCACAACCAGCACATTCGTACAGCTCCGGTGCTGGAAGTCCAAACACAAAGTTCATGTCCGGAATCCGAGATAGTCACTATCCAATGTTGTTATCCGGTGGTCCAAATGGCAATACTGTCTGCACGAATTCCATGTTTCGACCACTGCTGAGTACTGATAACGCTGGCTATCTGTCCGTTCCGACAGATGCAGTTCCTCAACTCTCATCTGGTTTGATGCCAAATGCCCTAGACGCAGTTGGTCTGGGTGGTTCTGGCTCATTAGATCCGCAACAATCGCATCATTCTCACCCTCATCACCAACTATCTCCACATAGCGGTATGAATGGGAGTGTGGGTTGTGTTACTCCGACCGGTCGTTCGATGTCTGGAGCCACAGAGCCCGGTGTGGTTGTTTATCCGTGGATGAATCCTAAAGGCTCTGGTAAGTGGATTTGTGAAACCAGATTACGTCAGTTTTTTACACGCTTTCTCCTTGTTTCATATTTGTTTGTCAGTTTAGTAAGTAAAAAATAAGTGTCAACTCTTCCAAGTACAACAGTTCAGTATTTGCGAATTTCTTGCCTGATTATAGTATAGCGCTGTTAAACAGTTACCCATCAGGGGTAGAATGCTGTCTGACGATGTCCGATATGTCCAAAAACAATTATGAATGAGGGTTGTATCAGGTAGTGTTGAAACGTAGTTGGCTGTTGGCACCCAGTTCAGGTAACCCGAACATTTATCACATCGGATTTTAAACATCTTGTGTTCAGGGTTGAATCGGAACAGATTTGATTGATACCGAATGCCCCAGATTCTCCCGTACGAATGAAATAGATGCATGGTGCTTCCACGCAGGTCAACCCCCGGATATGCACACACATATTGTGTTTGTCCGACTCTTTCGATAACTCTGATTCATATCTATTTCATGGGCTACCAATATCAGGTGTGGAAGTTTGTCAATTCTGAGGAGTCCCTCAAAAGCTAATATGGACATGAATGGATTTAGTTTACCTACGCAAAGACTATAATTGCTAGCTGTCGCGGCAGGAAGTGTTTCATCTGACTTTGTTGTATTTGTAATGTGAATTCTAATTAATAATCAAACTGAACAGGAGTGTGAGTAGAGAAGCATCTTCCGTGGAAATACCCCCCAGAAAGTTATTTATTTACCACTCTCGCATACAGTTAGTCGCTCGGTTAGGCAAATGAGCCATCACTATCGTTACGTCGAAGTGCTCGTGGACGGTAATTTCGTGATCGAAAGACTTCGGGTTAAAAGTGGATGCGTTCGCGGTTTATAATTGTGATTTGAGCACACCACAAAAATGTATTCAAAGGAAGTGCATGCCATTGTTTTCCTCTTTGCTCATTAAACTAACAATTTGATCGGAAAATGCTTCAATAAATTTCAATCAATTCACTTGCCACAGGTTGTCACTTGCATTTAGGGAAATGTGCACGACACGATAAACCACTGATCGTTGTTAACGATTCATAGTGAATACGCTTTATGACAGTCGACTAAAATGGAATAAAATGATAATTGAATCGCAGCGCACGGTTCGCTCTGATTACGGAGCGAATATGGTGATTGCACGGACTGAATAAACGAAGGAGCCCAATAAAGAAAAAGTCCAATAAGGGTACTGTGAATGCTCGACAGATTGAAAAAGTGTAGGTTGAAGGACTACTGATTGCAAAGAAGCGAATCACGGCAAAGGAGTTGACCTCTTGGTTCAGATTTTCATTGATTTTCAATATGTTGATCCGTTCACTACTCGTCCATTGTCACCGCAGCGAAACAGTACACGCGGAAACACTTTACGGTGTGAAGTTGTGACATATATCCACACACACGCATGTATACGATGCGGTGGCGTGTATATATACACACACACACACACAGTAGCGCGAGAGATCAAAGCATCTGTACGACGGCATATATGTGGATGTGTAGTCGTTCAAATCGACCATAGCACGTGGCCATTCATACATGCGTTTATGCATGCCTGTCCGTATTGTGTATATGACCGTGTTTACCGCAAGCAACAGCTGTTTCGATCCGAAAGGGCAAATGAAATTTACACGATAGATTGTGTACGCTGGACTCGGAGATTCAGACAAACACACAGATTCAAGACTGACCAGTTTCCAATTATAGTTAAGGGAAAATGCCCTTGGAATGGGCACAGCAAAAAAACAGGCAAGTGTTAAAGCATGCACCGTTGATTTTTAGGTTCAGATATTGCGCTGGCTTGAAAAGAAAAAAAAAACAATATCAGCTAAACGAAGATGGCTTAGCATCGCCAGTTAGCTTTATAATTACTATTGTCGGGCCAATTGAACGATCCGTCTATATAGAGACGTGACCTTTTCGACCAACCACAAAGCCGACACTCGGGTTGTTTGTTGTTTCTCTCGGAATTCGAATTCTCTGGGAGGTCGTGACCCTGGACATGAGTGTGTGTCTGTGTGTGCGCTGGGGAGAAAACGTGTTTTTCTCTCTTCTGTTTAGTCTTTCATCAATGTCGATAACAGATCATACTGGACGAGGGACGAGACAGGATGAGACCTGTTTCACCTCTGAGCCACACATTCGACCGGGTTGTGTGCATCCTAGCATAGACTGATTTTGCATTATACTCATCGGAACATAAGCATTCTTCTTTTTTCTTCAGTAGGTCTGAGATAAATAGTTCATCAGGCTTGCTTTTCCACCCATGAAATGAATGAATTTCCAGGGATACAGTGTGTTGTAATATTTTTACGCCACCCTAAACCATTTTGTTTCAGTCTTGTATGTCCAATCATTTGATTTTCGTTTTTTAGGACTATGGTTATCTGTGAGTGACTAATTGCATTAGGCGGAACGCAGTGGTAAAATGCAAGCTGATTGCACCGTTTTGTATGGTGCAATAGGAATTCTTTCGCGTAACGGTTACATCTTTAATTCACCAATGAAACTTTTCCGGCGTAATGTGCTAAAAGGATGTTGATACATATAAACTGACTAAATTATTATTGACACATTACATACCACTCCGAATGATGTAGGGACCATTACAAAAATCAGTGAGATCATTCGTTTTTAGTAATATCGGTTAATAGACATGGATGGACGATAAATCGAGGCCTGGCGAGGCAAAACTAGTCCCCCCCAGGGCTAAGCTGACTAACTGTTAACAAGGAGGGTTCAGTCTCTTTTAGCTCTGAAATGAAATCATCATAGACTTATTTGCAACGACTGTGCTTCGCCTTAAAGGCATCTAATTGGTAGAATATCATGCGAGAGATGGTTGACTATCTGAACATAGGTATTGTATTTTTATTACGTGATAAACTTGATGTAATTTGAAGGTGAAAACCCCATGATGATATAAGTTACTGCCAACTGGTAGTGAGAAACTTCTATCTAAAACATAGCTTGTTGATTCTACTCCTAACTATAGAAAGGTTATAAGAAGGAGGAAAAACAGAGTAAACAAGGGCGTTCCGCGAACACGCATTGCTTGGAAAAAGGAGGACTTGACGGTCTCTGTTCAGTGGGTTGTTAAATTCACATGGCTGGGCTGTATCAGCACTTGTGAAAGAAAGTCTAAAACTCCCGACCCTAGAGTCCGGTATATCGCTAGATCTTTCCCATGAATCACTCACTATTGATGAACAACCTGAAGAGTATTTTAAAACAAATCAAAACCTAACTGTCTGCGACCGTTTAATTTTCACGTGGGCGATTGAAGCTCCGTGAGTACCCTTGAAGAAATTAGCAATTTGTGCTCAGAGTTAACAACACTTCAGTGTTTAGTAGTTTCAAATTTGTGACCAACCTTTTAACATAATTGCAGGCTTTTTGTTGCACCAATAGAGAGTGGAGTTAACCGTCGACTAAAAGCGATTTAGACTTGGATTTTACCACATAACAGAAAATAAATTGTTTGTAGTTTCTAAGCTGAACACCTCGAAAACTCTGGTCAGTATTTTGCTGCATGTTCTCTCAACAGTTGCCTATCAGAGCACACTGCAATTCCTTATAACATGTTGTGGTGATCGCAAGTGTGTCAGAGTTACAGAATTTATTTTTCACCTTTTGGCACGATCGATACTGGGTCGTTTGAAATTCGCGGGCCATCCCCATACTCGTCATCGTGATGCCACTGCACATTTTTGTGTATCCCACACTATATATATGTAGTTACGCGGTTGTGTAAGGAGATTCCCTCTCGTTCTCCAATCTTATACATACATGTACTAGTATCCTATAGGATTGCACGGTCCAGTAAAATATGCGCATCGCTGCTCCATACTTCGCTGTTGAACCTCGACCGTCACAAGTAACACTTGAACGATTCCGCTTTCCCTGTCTTCGCTTTTGGCCAACTATGTGATTCACACTGCCCTCGGATGATTTATCTTCAAACGATATGTGCTCCATTAATATGGGAAGAGAATAATTAAAAGCCTATACTATACTATACTATACTATACTCGATAATTGGTTGTTTAAAATAGTTTTAATTGACTTGCCTGTTTTTCCGTGACCATACACAAACTTTGAAAATGTCTCATCAGAAGAG